TTCAGTTACAGGTGGCTTTAGAGCTCAAAAATACCTAAAAAAAACCCTGAAATTCTCACTGTGAGCGGGGTCGCCTCTCCACAGATCTGACATTAAACATTTCTACCTTCACGAAGACCAAACCAGACTAAGCTACAGGTCAGATCTGTGGAGAGGCGACCCCACTCAAAGTCAGAATGTTGTTTTTCTAGGTATTTTGGAGCTATAAAACCACAACTATCCATTTTCTTCCGCTTATCCGGGGCCAAGTCATTGGGGCATCAGTCTAAGACGGGACTCCCAGATTTCCCTCACCCCAGGCACTTCCTCCAGCTCCTCTGAAGGGACCCCGAAGCGTTCCCAGGTCAGTCCAGAGACATAGTCCCTCCAGCGTGTCCAGGGTCTTCCCCAGGGCCTCCTCCTGGTGGGACATGCCAGGAACACCTCCTGATTATGGCGTCCAGGAGGCATCGGGAACAGATGCCCGAACCACCTCAGCTGCTCCTCTCGACGTGGAGGAAACTCATTTTGATTGTTTCTATCTGCAGTCGTGTCCTTTCAGTCATTAAGCTCATGACCACATGTGTTGTTGAAGTTTCCAGCTTGTTCAAGAAATGATGGAAGTAAAAGGCTGGAGACCGTCTTCAGCAGGAGAAGTTTATTTACGATCAATAATACAGGCCTGGGGAGACATGAAAAGTCCACATAGTTTGATTTCAAAAGTGAACATAGTGTTCAAGCCCCTTGACTCTGCTTCCAAAAAGGAGGAGGTTTATAAAGCAAGTGTGGTGAGACTAGAAGGCTCCAGTTAAACAGCAATATGACACAATTTAGATAATGGCATGCCAAGGGAAGATCATGGTGTAAATATACAGTAAAACTTTTGTATGTCAATGTTAAACAGAGGCCCTGTCCACACTAGTTCATATTCAAGTCATTTTCATTGTGGATGCAGTGTTCGTCCACACTTATCTGACTGAAAATGGCTCCAGAGACGGAACGATCTGGTGCCACCAACTCCCACGAATTCATCTGAGTACAGATCTGATCCGGCACTGTGTGGACGCCTGAAAACACTGACACGCTGATGCAGTGTTGGGAAGGTTACTTTTAAAATGTATTCCCCTACAGATTACAGATTACATATCCCAAAATGTAGGTTGTAAAGTAATCCATTAAATTACTTAAAGTGAGTAATGTAATCGAATACTTTGTATTTCTTGATATTGTTATGCTTTTGAAAACAACATGAATGTAACAACCACATCCTGAAAATTCTTGTTTGTTCTCTTCAAATTGTCTGTTGAGCCCAAGTCTCCATGAACAGACAACTGTTTACTATAGAGAAGTAAAGACCAGGAAATCTTAACATGAGATATTTGTTTTGTCTGCGAAAATAAAATAAAAAGCCCTGTCTTTACTTAAGCATTTTAAAAATATTATTGATAGAGAAGTGATTTCTATATGAAATCACTGCTGCCTTAAATTATGTCCACCTACTGTTAGGTGTCATATTGTCTAGACCAGGTTTAGTCCTGCTTTTAGACCTGGTTTAGTCCTGGTTTATTCCTGGTTTTAGTCCTGGTTTAGTCCTGGTTTAGTCCTGGTGTAGTCCTGGTTTAGTCCTGGTTTAGTCCTGGTTTTAGTCCTGGTTTTAGTCCTGGTTTTAGTCCTGGTTTATCCTGGTTTAGTCCTGGTTTAGCCCAAAATGTGAAAACAGGAAAATACCGCTGTGTAATCCATTTATTTCAACAAAGTAACTGTAATCCAATTACCACTCACTGAAACAGTAACTGTAACTGAATACAGTTACTCATAAATTGTACTCTGATTACGTAATCCCAGTTACATGTAATCCGTTACTCCCCAACACTGCGCTGATGTAGGTCTTTGTGCTGTGAAGTAATTCACCGCCAAAACACTAAGAGGCTAGAATATGTCCAGTCATATATACGGTCTGTGTGTACGACCTGCAGACGTTTAATCTCTGAAAAGTTTCACGTGAACCATCTCCAACGTGACAGAAACACAGAACAGACTCACCATCAGCAGAACACCCCTCTGTCACAGGAACAACACTCATATTCCACTGAGTCGTGTCCTTTAGTCCGACAGAAGCTGAACCGCATCAGAGACACAAAAGCGAGCTGTTTTGAGCGCTCAGTTTATGCAAATTAGCCATGCGGTTTTAAGTTTCATTTCTGTAAAACGTAAACAACTATGCTCAAAGCTGTGTGGATAGGGAAGGATTGCGGACACAGAAACAATGTGTGTGGACGCAGATCGTTTCTGATACGATGATACACAGATTAATTTCAGTGTAAACAGCGTCTGAGAAGTGTACGTGGATGATAAATGTCTTAAATTCTCTTACAACAGGAATACAAAACCACCTGTAATCAAATACACTTTTGACCAAGCAACTGTAATTTAAAAAATGTATAGTAGAGCTGTTTTAATGTCATACTGTGGAACTTTCCAGGCAGAGCAATGACATCTCCATAGAAACATGCAGGTGACAGAGCCTCCAACAGAAAAGCTACACAATGCACCTCTTTACTCGTGTTCTCTGTACTTCTTGTTCATGTAGAAATCCTATCACGAGCTGCTGCTGTGTCCGTGTTATTACCCTGGAGTCTGCTGCCACCTTCTGGCCAAAACATGAAACTGCAAGTAAATGTAACCAGAGCAGCAACTCGTTTAGAGAGAGAGCTTCGACTGGTGCGAATATTTGACTGATTTCAGCAACATCAAACAGCACCGTGAAAAGTACACGGAAAAGAAAAACAGAAAACATGAATATTTATCAATAAGATCAAATATACTAACATAAATGGTAAATAAATTAAAATTCACCACATTTACTAACACATATAAACAAACAAACAAGTACCTCGCTCTGCTGTCTGAGGGCTGCAAGTATTAAACCAAATTTTCATGGTGGTATGACACATGTCTCAAGCATTGATCTAGCAAGTTCTACAGCTCTTTACTTCTGGAGGGGTGTGGTTGAACAGGTAAGGTTAGGGCGCCATCTACTGGACTGGCTGACATTTACAATTAGAAACAGGAAATACGTGGATTTCTCTGTAAAAAAAAAAAAGAAGCTCAGTTGCATCGTTTTGTTAATATTTTACAAATATCTGTAATTAAATAAGTGAATGTTTCCAAATAAAGCATTACTCCCTACAACTGTACAACAATTCACCCTCATGTCACAGATAATACTCCCTACAACTGTACAATGACTCACCCTTACGTAACAGATAATACTCCCTACAACTCACCCTTATGTAACAGATAATACTCCCTACAACTGTACAACAATTCACCCTCATGTCACAGATAATACTCCCTACAACTGTATAACAACTCACCCTTATGTAACAGATAATACTCCCTACAACTGTACAACAATTCACCCTCATGTCACAGATAATACTCCCTACAACTGTACAATGACTCACCCTTATGTAACAGATAATACTCCCTACAACTCACCCTTATGTAACAGATAATACTCCCTACAACTGTACAACAATTCACCCTCATGTCACAGATAATACTCCCTACAACTGTACAATGACTCACCCTTATGTAACAGATAATACTCCCTACAACTGTACAATGACTCACCTGTATGTAACAGATAATACTCCCTACAACTGTACAATGACTCACCCGTATGTAACAGATAATACTCCCTACAACTGTACAACAACTCACCTTTACGTAACAGATAATACTCCCTACAACTGTCCAACAACTCACCCTTACGTAACAGATAATACTCCCTACAACTGTACAATGACTCACCCTTATATAACAGATAATACTCCCTACAACTGTACAATAACTCACCCTTATATAACAGATAATACTCCCTACAACTGTACAATGACTCACCCTTATATAACAGATAATACTCCCTACAACTACAACTCACCCTTATGTAACAGATAATACTCCCTACAACTGTCCAACAACTCACCCTTACGTAACAGATAATACTCCCTACAACTGTACAACGACTGACCCTTATGTAACAGATAATACTCCCTACAACTGTACAACAAATTCACCCTATGTCACAGATAATACTCCCTACAACTGTACAATACTCACCCTTATGTAACAGATAATACTCCTACAACTGTACAATGACTCACCTTATGTAACAGATAATACTCCCTACAACTGTACAATGACTCACCCGTATGTAACAGATAATACTCCCTACAACTGTACAACAACTCACCTTTACGTAACAGATAATACTCCCTACAACTGTCCAACAACTCACCCTTACGTAACAGATAATACTCCCTACAACTGTACAATGACTCACCCTTATATAACAGATAATACTCCCTACAACTGTACAATAACTCACCCTTATATAACAGATAATACTCCCTACAACTGTACAATGACTCACCCTTATATAACAGATAATACTCCCTACAACTCACCCTTATGTAACAGATAATACTCCCTACAACTGTCCAACAACTCACCCTTACGTAACAGATAATACTCCCTACAACTGTACAATGACTGACCCTTATGTAACAGATAATACTCCCTACAACTGTCCAACAATTCACCTCATGTCACCTACAACTGTACAATGACTCACCCTTATATAACAGATATACTCCCTACAACTGTACACCTTATATAACAATTACTACAATAACAGATAATACTCCCTACAACAACTCACCCTTATAACAGATAATACTCCCTACAACTGTACAATGACTCACCCTTATATAACAGATAATACTCCCTACAACTGTACAATGACTCACCCTTATATAACAGATAATACTCCCTTTAACTTTTTAAATTAATTTCCCTTGTGGATCCATAAAGTTTGTCTAAGTCTTAAAAGTCACATAATTTTGTCATTTGAATTAAATTTCTATTTTACATCATATTGAAATTGAAAGTGTGCAAAAAAAAACAAAAAAAAAACCTGCTCTTACAACATCGTCTTGACTCAGACTTCCTGTTTTTTACTCTTCTCTTTTGCACAGGAAATCAAACAGAGGAAATGCATCGACGCGACCAGATTCATTCTACAATAATTCTGTGGAAATCACGTTAGTTTAAGAAAAGTTCAATCTCGTCTAAGTTTTCCTGAATGGACACTTGGAAAGAAGATCGATTCATGAAGTTTAAGAACGACTGAAGTTGAAATGGCGACCAGCTGTGATTCGGGGGACAAGGTTTCAGAAAGTAAGACTTTAAATCAATTATCACATTAATTTTAATTTTAAAGCAGCACTGCGTAACATTTCCTAGTGGAGGGTCCGTGGAAATGTTCTTGCTTTATCTAGAATGTTCCACAGAATAAATTAAACTACGCCACGATACAGCTCAGATTTGTGGAGAGTCGTCTCTACTCACAGAAGGATTTACTGTATTTTTAAGCAATAGAAACACCCATAATGAATAAACAGACAAAAAAGTTATATCATGGAACATTCCAGGTAAAGAAGGACGTTATGCAGTGCACCTTTTTTTGCGGAGTTAGTTTAGTTCAATGTGAGTTTCTGTGGGTTTAATGTAGATTTTCTTTTCCAAAAACCAAGACAGGGGCTGATATCAAGAGTTTCTTTTAGTTTACATATTGGCTTACACGTGATTAATGTTGTTTATTTATTTATTTATTTAGGTTAGGTTGCTTTATTTGTACCTGTAGGTAAATTTGTTTTGCAGATTTGAGGCTGACATTATATTCAATAAACTAGTTAAATTCATCCATCACGCTTGGCTAAAATTATAATAAATATCAAATATATTAAAAAACACCCAATTTTCCGCACAGTCACTTCATTGTTATTTTACTTGTACTGTATTTCTACTGCTGTTTCATAACTATGTGACTTGCACCAAAAATTATTTAATAAAAATAAGTAAAAAAAAAAAAAAAATTAAAAATTCCAAGACAATCATACTAAAATTGACAGATAAATAATTTAATATATTTGAGTGGAGGTATGATTAAATACATTTTCTTCTTCCCACTCCTTTTTGTTGAGGTTATTTTCATTTCTATTATGATTTCACTTATGTTGGAATGTAAATGTAAATCATAAAGAATGTAAATCTTGACTTGCCCCCCCAAAAAAACTTAAAAAATAAAACTAATAAATAAAAATTTGTATACACGCTTTAAAGGTCCTCTTGTGATTTATAACGTTAAACAACAGTCTGACTGTGAGCGGGGTCGCCTCTCCGCAGATCTGACCTGTAACTTGGTCTGGTCTGGTCTCCATGACGATAGAAAGGTTTAATGCCATACTGTGAAACATTCCAGATGAAGCAATAACATTTCCATGGAAAAAAGCAGACCCTCCACCAGAAAAATTAAAAAGTTAAAAGACAAAATCTACTCCTTTCTGCGTCTCCAGACTTTAATGCCATACTGTGGAACATTTCAGATGACGCAATAACATCTCCATGAAGAAAAGCGTTTGGCGGACCCCAAAAAAAATCATTATCACGATTATTTTGGTCAATATTGAAATCACGATTATTCAAACGATTATTTTTTTAGTTACGCGATGCATGATTCAGTATTTCTTTCTCACGTTATTGATAATATTTTTTTTTTTATTGTGCATTTGTTTTGGGCAAGTAAAAATTTACATTCACATTCAATGGAACATATAACATAAGTGAAATCATAATAGAAATGAAAATAACAACAACAATGTACTACTATTATTATTATTATTATTTTGCCCAAAAAGGAGTTCGAAGAAGAAAACTTATTTAATCCCACCCCTACTCTTCATAATCTAACACAATGAGCTTCTGTTTACGCAAATCTTTCAAACTGAAAATATAAATTCAGGCTACAAATATGAACCTTAGAGCAGTTTTGTGATTTATAAAACATAAAATGAATAAAATATACTTTGAGCATGAAATAAGACATAGAAAAACATAAACTATATATCCAGCTGTTCTACAATCTCTATCTTTAAAAAATAAAATAAATACACTTGTTTATATAAAAAATATCCCAAAATAAACGTTAAGCTTTATCGTTTCAACTTGATTATATGAGTTTAGAGATCGTTTGACACACAAATCGAAATCGCGATCAACATTCGATTAAATGCACAGACTTACTACACACTGCCCCTTTAATTCATGCTTGTAAATGACATTTTTTGCAGTGCGCACTTGTTCTCTAGCTGCTTCACTCACTCCCTCCTCTCTTTTTCAGTGGTATCTGCTTTTCGTTCTATGGTCCATCATTTTCAGCCCATTTTTTCGGCCAAATCCAACTCCACCGTCATCGCCCCGTCACTGTTTGGGTCCCACATCGAGAACTTCAACATCAGCGTCAACACGAAAGGTACACGCCACGAAAGACGAGATTTTGACATAATTTATAGAACATAAGTAGTGCAATCCATTTCACAATTTTGGCTTCGCTATTTTATTTTTTTATTTTATGGTTTTTGGAACTACAGCTTCTCAAATTGTGTAACTCACCAGATCTGAACTCTATTTTTTTTTTTTTTCTGTCTAAACCAAAAGTAAATTCACGAGGCAAAAAAATCACACCAGATAATTTTTCTCATGTTTGCACGAGATTTTGCGAGATCATGTGTGTGTCTATCAGAGGTGGGACTAAGTCTTTATTTTGCAAGTCTCAAGTAAGTCTCAAGTCTTTGACCTCAAGTCTGAGTCAAGTCCCAATCAAATAGAGGCTTTGCACCGTCACGCGTTCCCCATGGCAACGGTACCTACGCCGCCATGACACCGGGCACACTATGCCATTGACTTCAGCAGCATCGGAGAAACATGGGCAGGTTTTGTTGTGTATTTAGTTGTTCTAGACGCTCTGAACGGGATAAAACGATTTGTTTCTTCACTGTTCCTCTGGAAATTACTCATCAGGAGCTCAAACAAGGGAATTAAAAAAAAAAAACACGGATTATGGCTAGCAAAAATAAACCGCAAAGAGATTCCTATGGTACCACCAAGACACCTGAAGTTTCATCAAGGTGTTTGCTATTTAAATTGTAGTAGCTTATTAATAGCATATTTAATGAAAGAAGCACATTTACTGAACTAAAATTTCATTAATTTATCCAGGAAAACCCGCACTAGTTTACGATTCAACAAACCCACATTGGGCTCCTCTGATCAACATGACGCACGAGTCGAAGAGTCTGTGAGCCGAACCTCGAAAGAATCGGCCATGAAAAGATCCTCGCGAACATTAGAAAGATCCGCTCACAAAAAGCGATTAATTCTAGAAGACATAGTTGTGGATAAGCAAGACAATGAAGAAAACATGGGTCCTACGACGAGTGACATGTTTATATGTGTGTTGGAAGATACAGTTTCTGCTGCCACTCACACTGCAAATGTTTTCTTTTTACATTTTAGTTCAGTAAATGTGTTTCTCTCATTAAATAAACTATGAAATAATTTAAATAACAAATACCTTGATGAAAGTGACGTGAGTGTGTCTTGATGGTACCATTAGAAATCTCTTTGCGGTTTATGTTCTCTAACCATAATTCCTGTCTTTTTTCGATAATTCCCTTGTTTGATCCTGATGAGTAATTTCCAGAGGAACAGTGAAGAAATGAACCGTTTTATCCCGTTCAGAGCGTCTAGAACAACCAAATACACAACAAAACCTGCCCATGTTTCTCCAATGCTGCTGAAGTCAGTGGCATAATGTGCCCGGTGTCATGGCGGCGTAGGTACCGTTGCCATGGGGGACACATGACGGTGCAAAGCCTCTATAAAGGCAAGTCCAAGTCGAGTCTCAAGTCACTGGCCCATAAGTCCAAGTCAAGTCCAAGTCGTCTGCTTTGAGCTTCAAGTCTTCAAGTCTTTAAATCAAAAAAGTACCAAATATAGCTTAGATTTTTGCAATTTATGACTTTAAACTAAATTGTACTTTAAAAAAAAGATAGTGTATTTAATTATGAGTATTTATAGAGTATATAAGAGTTGTAGAAATGCATTTTTTTTTTTCCCTTTTTAAATGTCTTGACAAGATCTTAGAGTGAATCATTACGGTCAGAACAGAAAGAATTGAGATTTAAAAGTGCTTCTCAAGTCTTCTAAAGTCGAGTCCCAAGTCCATTTTATCAAGTCAAGTCTTAAGTCCTAAATATAGTGACTCAAGTCTGACTCGAGTCCAAGTCCCAACCTCTGATGTCTATGGCGTAACGTTCAGCAGTTACCATACAAATAGTCTGATTTTAGTTTTAAAATTGTCTGAAAACTCAACTGAAAACGAGCTTGTGACTCTGTTGTTACGAGCCAGGTCAGTTCTTTATGGTCCGACAAAGGTCAGTTTAAACTTGAGTACAAAACTTCAGAAAGAGCAGTGCCTCTAGTTAGCTTGAACGTTGAGGACATTAGCAGCAAAGCATTGGATAGTACTTGTTATATTTTAAGGAAGAAGATTTGTCTAATGTTTTTTTCTTTCTTTCTTCAGAGGAACAGAGCCACAATAATAATGAGGAACTGAAACAGGATCTGAACGCTGAAAGTGAGTGTGAAAGCTTTTCTAAAACAATTTAAATTAGTTTTAATTTAAATTAGCTGTATGAATATAAAGTTAAACACAACATAACAAGAGAATAAAGACAAGATATATACAAAAAAATGCAAAAAACAAGCATTCTTACTCGTGCTTGCATCTCCACAAACCTGACTTGGCATGTAGGAGAGCCTCTTCCTACATGTTTGCTGGGAAATGTTGTTCTTGTGGCAATAATCTAAACCACAGTGTGGCATAAAACATCTATTGCCACGAAGCTTCTTCTGAGCAGCCCAAAAACATAAACAGAGAAGAATCCTGCACACTGTTCTACTTGCAAATTGTGAATTTAATTAGGACGTCGATGTCCTAATTACATTAATCACAATTTGCAAGTAGAACAGTGTGCAGGATTCTTCTCTGTTCATGAAGAAGAAGAAGAAGTATGGTTTTAACTTTCTGTTTCCAAGGAATCATGCAGAACACTACACATACTATAGACTGTAAATATAAATGGACATAGACCCACTGGCCCATCACATTCCAAATAGCAAGTGAGCATGGACGTGCATTGAATGTACAAGCCTAGCACCAGTGACCTCTGCAGATACAAGGTAGAGGTCTACGCGAGACAGAATTTTTCAGAATGAATTGTAAATTTCATTCCCGCTCCCACCCGCATCTGTGATATTTTGTCCCACTCCCGCCCACAAATCCCTTAAGATGAGGACGTTTGCTTTCTCAAGCTCCATAAAACGTGGAGAAGCGGAAAAGAATTGTCTAAAATATTCCCAAGATGAGACCACAAGATTAGTCCATAAATTTATGCTGTTTAAAACAGTGTTTCCCAAACTTTTATTCTGGAGACCCATATTTTAAAAGTCACAAATCTTTCGCCCGCAATGAACTTTCAAAATGTGTCTGGTGCTGCACTGTTTTGCGTCGGGTCCTGCGGGGAATGCAGGGCTCAAATACAAGGGCTGGATGGAATATTTAAAAAAGTGTCTCCAAACATCTCCGGCACTCACTGGCTCACTAGGAAATGACGTCCTGTGTCCAAAAATCTGGACTGTATCTTTAATGAAAACGTGAAATTTAAAATGTAAAATAAAAAATACTAACTGTGGAGTGGTGACAGAAGTATCCAGGTAGACAGCTCCAAAGTTTGGTTCTTTTTACTGAGAAAGTC